GACTTCAGTCTGGGCCAAAGTGGTGGAGCAACTGACCAACAAACAGAAAACACAGCCATCAATGGGGTCATGGTGCTAAAAGTATCAACAGTCAACTTGAGGCTTCAACCTCAGGTTTCTAAGCACTGGAGTTTGGCTGAGTTCTACCCATGGTCTATGATGTTTATACTGTAAGAACTGTACAGTGAGTTATGAGTACTTGTGCAAATACATCCTAATTAGTTATCTACACCGTCAGGAGTGTGCCATGGCATTAAACGATTACACAGAAGCATGCATCACTTGGTATTATGTTCACCCTCACAGCAGACTTATTATAATGTTATGTTACAACAGGCTTACAGCAAATGGTGCACAAGAAATAAACTGAAGTGATCAGACAGAAAATAACAGCCTGTGTTGCATTGTGGTTAAAGCTAATGAAAAATAAAACAGATTGTCGGAGAAGAAAGAAAAAGTAAATACAGCATCTAAGTTAATAAACCAAATCGACAGAGAATATTATCTATGTGAGTGTCACAAACACTGTTGGGACTATTTTAGGTTTTCATTCATCTACGTCAGCCAGAATAATTCAAATCTATATTAGCATTAAGGATAATGGTTATGGCAACTGACTCAGCCAAATTAAGCCAAATAATATATTGCATATTAATATTTGCACTCCACATATTTTTTCTGTTAATGATGGCACTGTAAGGACAGAGACACTGAGGACAAAATGATTCCCAGACTTATTCAGACTTTGATTATACACCAAAATAACTGATATCTGCTGAAAGAGAAAAAGGATACAAAATTGCTTCCCTTTATCTGTGTTTCATCATTATAATCTGTGTTAACATAGTCCTAGAATCGGAAACTGGCTGTCACACAATCCATCCCCTTTCTGTCCACGTTACACACACACACAAAAATGCATTCACTGTCCTGTGTGTTAGAGGTCTGAGTCTTAACCAGATGTCTCCTGAGTCTCATTATGGCTGTGTCGATTCTACCAGACAGAAACAAACTAAACTTTGATGTTTATTCTGTTAATGTGGTCAGTGGAAAAAAAAGACAAAAATCACACCACAGGGACGAAGCTTTGATGGTGAAAGTAAAGAACAGTTTCTGCTTTTTCTCTGTCTTTTCGCTGGCTTAAATGCCACTGGAGAACATGTCTAATTAATGAGGCTGAAATGTGAGACTGCATGTACCTTTCAATTTAAAATGAAGCTGCCAGGAAAATTAGAGGCTCCAGTGGGAGCCAAAGGGTTTTAGATAATAACACTGCCTTGATTGATTTGGACTGGACCAAAGGAGGGCAAGGTTAAAAAAATTATAAAAAATATTGGTCATTAAAGTTTTCATATTTCAACTGAACTGCAAATATCAACAGATGTCAGTGAAACCTGAACAACTGCAAATGGATCCACACTAGATGGAGATAACGTGGGATTGCCTAGTGCGAGTTTCTGGGAGAAAAACAAAACCTCCCGATTAGATTGTAATGAGTTGTTTCACCAGCCAGAAATCATCATCACAGAGGATTTCAAACTAAGATCACTATCAAATCTACTGACAAAAAAAGATTTAGCCAGTGATGGAAAATAAGTCAAGCTCACACCAAACAAGAGCGATAATGAGTTGTTTTAAATGCATTGTCTATTTGACAGAGACTAATTCCTCTATATGGAGTCCTCATACGTAGAACAAACACTGATCAGAAACCTTTTATCTGATTAGGTGTTTAAACTAAGCAATCTGACACTAGCTGAGTACCTGCATATGTGCTAATCTGAATTACTGCTGTGACTTTGGTTACGAGAAAGCTATGTCATTAAGAGGCATTTATATTCACGCAAATGTGTGTGCACATGTCTATGTATGTGTATTTGTGTGTCTGAGCACTGAACAGGAAGACGCTGTCTAAACTTGGCTTCTGTTTTACTCTAGCATGTTCATCTGACTGCCAGACTTACTGGTTACTTTCATGCCAAAAACAGATTATTATCAAATACGATGTATTATTATAGCATTGTACTGCACAATTAAACCAGTGGTTCCAACCTTCCAACTTGTGACTGATAACGTGTTGTCATGTTTCAGATGTCTATGAGGTTTTTGCGGTTTTGCATAACCTCCTCAAATGGTTTCATTTTATTAACTGTTCAAGACCAAAAACGGTAAAACTATCTAATATTTCACAAAGACACTAAAAGCCAAATAAAGAAACCTCTCTTACCTCTCTAATTATTGCAGAAGCCCTGAACTGTATCTTGTGATCATTTAGAGGGCACCCAGTCACAGGCTGGAAACCACTGAACTAAGGTACTTGGCTAAGCAAAGGAAAAGCAAAGGTGGCCATCAGTAGCACAGTAAACCTCAACCTGTCCATTCACTTTATATTTTACAGAATTCACATGTAAGCTAGTATAACTTACAAAAGAGATGGGCTGCAAAAATGTACCATAGCACATGGACAGAGATATGGGGGACAGTTTTAGAAAGAGAAAGGATGTGGTGTGACCGCAGTGCTGACAACGAAAGCATTTAACTGACACCTTTAACCAGAGGGATGTACAGTGAGTACAACATGTGTAATGATTCCAACATCTCAAGCATTACAAGCAAGTATAGAGAGACTGTACAAAAACAGAAAGCATTGCAGCATATTAAGGCATTTTACAACAAAATGAGGTACAATAAAACCCTCTGATAGCGCCTGCATTGCTAAGTCGTTGAGTCACAAAGAAGTGCTGTGTAAGGGTGGTGTAGCAGCAGAGGAGAAAATGGTGGATAAAGTTTTGAAGAGGCAGAGCAGGGCTGTGGGGGTTGAGTCAGAGGATGAGCTCTTCATCCCAGTGGGCTCTGGTTCTCATCCACACAGTGTGATGTAAATGTCACCTCCACCAGACTCGCTCGTTAAGGCCACAGCAGGACAGACAGCAAAGCTTGGACTGACAGTTAAAAAGAGCACTCGTCGAGGTGAGGATAAAAGTACTATATAGGTTCGGTTTATATGTGTATATGTTGAGTACATGAAATGGATAGAGCAAGGTGAAAACATCTAAAAACCAATTAGACCATAGAACAGGGTTTTTATCATCACATCTCTCACCCCCCACCATGCTCTCAAGCTGATGAATAGGGACTATACATCACTGCATTGATTTCAGATCATGTTGGAGTCTCTGCACCAGCAAACACAAAGACATGGCCACTAGTCAATAAATCAACCTCATGTTATATTCATGTACATCTCAGCCAGCATTTTCCCCCTTGAACCTTACTGTACAGCACAGCTAGCAAATAAAATGCTTGCTTAATATTAACATTTAGCGTAGGTTTACTTTTACATTGGAATAAGTTAATTGCCCCTATATTTGAAAAAAGCACTATCGTCAAAGTTCTTCTACCTTGTTTCATACCAGCGAAGCACCACTCATTGTTCAGAATGTACACAAGAGGACTAATCAAGATCAGCCTCTTTACTATATCAACTTATACTCTGTGACTTATAGTCCTAGAGAACTAAAATTATGTTCAAGCTTTGCAACCTCAAAACTGAATATGTTATTGAAACATTATGAATGACACTGCTACAAAAGCCAAGTAAGTATTTTTATGTTGTTTAAACTTGGTGAAAAGTGAATTTAGCTACCACCTAGCTTGGTGAAAAGTGAATTTAGCTACCACCTAGCTTGGTCATGCACAGCTTATGCTACTTTTTCTGAGCAAGGTACTCCGATTACATCAAAAATTACAGCAATATGTTAATAAAATAATAATCAATGAGACAGATTTATGTTTCAAAGTAGACAATTAAGCATTTTAGTGATCTGAAGCAAATATGTCATGTTCCTAACTGAGCTGACATCAAATTAAATGTGTACTGTAGCAGACTCACAATGACTACACTCAAGCTCAGACCACGATGGTGATAAATCTCTGTCCTGACAAATGGTAAAGCAGCAGTACATTTTAAAGCAGAAAGCGAAGAAGAATAACACCAAAAGAACAACCATCATATAAAAGGAAGGTATCAGCAAACCTAAAGGTGCAACATTTTTAACTCAAATCTCCAAGCCATTCTTGTTTTTACTTACAATATAACTTCAAATATGGGCAATAAATATATCAACTGACAGTTATGATAGCAGAAAGTGCAAATGTGTTCACAAGAAAGACAGAAGAGTTTTTATGCGATTGGAGTAAATGGACAAGTGAAAGCTGAACTACCGCTTCAGCACCTTGGAGAGCGACACGTCGGTGTTCAGGACCACGGACAGCGCCGGGGGTCTGAACGTTTGGCAGCGTTTCGGACTCAGTCAGGACCTGGATTATAACAACGCCATTGCAAAGAACCAAGGTGACCCTGATGGAAATCGTCCACAAATAAATAACCTGGGGTTCACAAACATAGTTCTGAAGTCACACTGCGCAAGTTTCTGTTGCATTTTGTTACCATCATCTTTAAACATATAGGGATTTCAGCTGGCGGGACAAAAGCAAGCAAATTTGGAAAAAAAAAAACATTACCAAAGTTAATAATGATGATTCTCGTCAGTGTGGGATTTGTATAAGTCACGATTTAAACATTAGTTCCGCTCATTTCAACAATCTTATTTCAAGGCTGATTACATCATAACACATGTAAAAGTAACACGTGATCATCATCTATGGTGTGAAACTAGTGACGTGTGATTTGTAAGGTTTATTAATAGAGCAGACAGCCACTGAGCGCAGATCACTGTGCAAGAGACGTAACTGACGCGTCATTTATTGACAGACAAGCCAACCAACTGAGGAAATGAGGCGCAAGTTTTGACAGAACTTGGAAAAGGGGGGAGTTAATTAACTGCAAAACGGCATTAACTAGACAAATTATTTTACTGACTCTACAATCAATACATTGTGTCATTTCAACGTATATTACTGTAATTAAGAGCGTATTGGTTCATCTTTATCTACGTGAAAATGGTTCTAATCGGACCATGACAGCGCAAGTTTCTTACATCCTCGTCCTCACACTCCCGATGGTACTGATGCTGATGCTGGGGTCGCTGGCTCTCCGTCGTCTTTTCTCCCTCCACACCATGTCCCAGGAGATGGCTCCCCTCTGGAAGGTTGGGGAAGGATTTGTTTGTGTTGATCTTACCGGTGAATCTCTGATACAGTGACGCCATTTCGACTATTTGTCAAAAAATAAACTGTAATTGCCGGGTCTATGTTCTCAATCTATATAAAAAAGATCAAATTAGAGGAGGTCGATGGGTATTAACTGAGGTAACTGGATTAGAAAATGCTCTAGTTCGGTTAAAACAGTTGGGGGAAAAAAAAAGCTGTGTTCAGCATTCACATCACGTACTTTCAGGCTCACTGGTCGGGTCTCACTGGTGCTGCTGCGACTCGGTTTCCACACTTTCCCAACTTGATGCGAAATTAATGCAAAAACAAACGACTGTGCGTTACAGGAGACCAAATAAAACACTCGTGGTCCGGACCCGAAAAACGGAGAAAGCAGCCACAGCGATATCCCGTCTCCCTATTCCCCTCTGTAGTGGCAGAAAAGACCGTGGCGGCTGATAACCGTTCGGGGACTAATAGCTCTTTGCTTCATAAGTGAGCACAGAAACCAAAGAGCTGCGAGCGACCCAACGCAACATTAATATGTTAGATATCAGAGGTTCGCGGTCGGAACTTATCATGACTTTGCAGATAGGAGGCTGAAGTCGCTTATTAGTTTCTTATCTTTGCCTCCAAGTGGGTCAATAGGAGTGTCATGCAGAGAGCAAGCGCGCCCCCATGTGGACGAAACTCAGGAAAAAGTTTAAAGGCAGGGAGTCGGATTAGACCATAGAATGAGAAATTGAATCCGTCTGACATCCTTAAAGATTATACAGATATTTCTTTTCATTCGTTTTAAATTGCATGTGATGGAGGAAAGGTTTTATGTCTTGTTTCCAATTTAGAAGTAATTGGTTATTTTCTTCCACTAATTCCACAAATAAAGCAGCATCCTGGTGGGACTTCACAATCATGACAATATATAATACATGCAGTTGGTCTTAGGTGGGATAAAATGAAATTCTATGCATTAAAAAGATTAAATAAAGTCTTGTTGCGTATATAATACTTTTTTAGTATAAACATGCATTTAACAGCTGAAACTAAAATACATAGTGCACAGCATAATGCCGCATTATGGCAGCAACATTGTTTTTTTATTTATTAATCTGCTGATTATTTTTCAATTAATCTGCTGATTTTTAAATTCACAAAATAGGGAAAATGCATTTTACTGTGTCTTATCTCAGAGACTAAAACCCAAACTGATTCACCTTTTTTTACAAAGAAAAAATAAGTATGTCACATTGAAAGAATTTTGAAACACTGAATATTGAGCATTTTGTTGGAAAAAACTGAAATGAGTACTCAGTTATCAAAATTATTGTCAATATTTTTCTATCAACTTATCAGTCAATTATCTGAAATGTAAAGTTGTGGGATTGAAGAAGCTTCTTGTTTGAGAGGTGAAATGTCATCAGTAACCTCTAGCAGGTCTAACTTTAGCATTGCAGCCATACCATGACCTGAAGGACTGAGGCTCCACAAACCTGACTGCAAGTAGAAAGTGATGAAAACTACAGTTAAATTAAAAAATACCCTTAAAAGACACGAGTTTTTAAAGCAAGGAACTGAGCCATATGAAGACTGTTTAGCAGCTGATCACACTCTTTGCATATAAAAGTAAGGAAACATCAACAGACAAAACTTGTTACTCTGTATCGATGGCCTGACACCTGATCATTTAGATTTATTTGCGAAGCCAACAAAGGAACAGTCATTTAGAACAGAACAGACCTAGAATCGAATTTGATCTCACAGAATACAGAACACCACCCTATGTGTACAGAACATGAGTGTGTTGTGATTTCAGCCTCACAGAGTAAAAAAAACACAGGATAATAACTCATCCACTCAACACAGACTGGAAGAAGCTCAAAGCTTCATGAAACACAAACTTCCTCCTTCTATATATATTCACAGCCTGTCGAGAGCAAATAACTCACATCTGTTCAGATTTACCCTTCAACTAAAACAGCTTCCTGAAAACATTAAAACACACCCTACTGCTCCATTACATGATTACTCAGCTGCAAACTAACCCCCCCCCCCCCCCCACACACACACAGAGCACACACTCCTGCTCTGCAAATTATTTTACCATTGATTTCCAAGAAAGGAAAATAATGCTCTAGTGTGCGGCTGTACATCAAGATCATCTCAAACCAGAAATACAATTCAGTTTTCAGACACTGTACTGCTGTGATCAGTATGAAAAAAGATGGGCAAGCTTTGTCGAACTGCAGGAACTCATGCGGCTACTGATGCAGTACATTTTAAGGTGGACAGGATATGTATGAAAATGAATGGTAAGACACTTCCTGGACATGCAGAATGGTCTTTGCCCTCTTGCTGCTCCACCTTATTAGATCACTGCATCATATCAACTGAAATCATACAAGTATTAAATGTGATTATCTCTATGTCTCCCCTGTAGTTTAATGCAGCAGGCTGTGGTAGATCAGCTCTGCAAATGAGCAGCAGAGGGTAGAGCTGGTGGTTTATCCCAGGTAGACACCTCTGTCTGTGGGGAGGGACAGACTTATCAGCCAAACATATAGATGATGAAAGAAGCAGCGCTGGTACAATGAAAAAGTCCGTACAGGGTTTGGAAACAATCACAATGCATTTTAAAATGTTGCATAAAGCCAATGACAGGGAGCAGTTTTCACTCATAAATACAGTAAAGACATTAAAGCTAAAACCATTGATTATATGAAGATGGATGACGTGTCACCACTTTTCTCCACTATGCAAAAGTGAAGCCAAATCATGAATGCAGCAGCTGCCATCTTGACATTTTGCTGCCAGATTCTGCATAGAAGCATAGTATCATCAAATAACTTAAAAACTAACCAGAAACACATAACATCTACCAAAGATGGCAGAAATCACCTCTGGGAAAATATATTTTTTGTAGGTTTTAGTTTGGCTCATGCCCCGTTCACTAACATGGAGGGGGCAGGATTTATGGTCTATACCGCAACCACCCATGAGGGGCTGATCGAGGCACAGTGGCTTCACTCCTGAGAGTGTTCAGACTGTCCATCGTATATACAGTCAGTGGGTAAAACTGCAACCTCATATACAGCAAAGAGTGGACAAAAGTTCCAAAACAAAGAGTGGCATCTGGTGGATAAACTGATTCCATTTATGTATACTGATCTCCATGTTGCTTAAAAAAATATTGCTTTCATGAAAAAAATTCTAAGCACACCTGTGAGTTCGCTTACGCCAGCACATCCCCTTCTGTCTACAGACCAGCATGATTTATGATGGACAGTTTCTCATTTCATGCTCCTGTGTGAGAGAGATACTCATCAAGCCACATGTGTCTCTCTGGCCTGGAACAACTCTGGAGGGTGGCAGTGTCTAGATCATTTTGACCATCACAAAAATAAAGGTGGTGTAGAAGCAGCTGGGCTGAGGTGGCAGAGGAAGTTGTTGTGTTACTGTCCATGCAGCGTTTCTAAAATCTGTGTCACTACCAGAACATTTGAAGCTGCATGACTGTCAGATGGCAACGAATGTGGTCGGAGAAAGATGGTCAGTCAATCGGTCATTGTGATTGGAAGGCGATCAATATTTGTCCATGCAGGATAAAGAAAAGCGATCAGGATCTGATTTTAGTGGAAACACTTTTAGATGCCCTGTACATAATCTCAGACCAATTTCCCCAAGGTTAGACTCATATTTAGCACCGTCTATGAAAACTCTGCCAGGGACAAATACAGTATGTAAAAAAAAAAAGAAAAAAAAAGTCTGAAGCTGTGATGGAAGTAGGTGTTCACAGCAGTAGCAGAGGTTCAGATGAGAAAGAGAGGCTCAATAATTTACACTGTAGTGTCACACTTCCCTGTTGCAGTCCATTTCTCACTGAGAACACCGTCATAAACCTCCACCTTCAATCCCAAGCTTCACAGAGGGAGGATCAATGTGGCCATTATCTGGGATATTTGGGTCTGTTGGACGTCTGCTTTATGACAAGAAAACCCGATTTTCAGCATGTAGTCATTTAACACACACTTACATCTAGCCTAAAGTATTGCCAATATGCTGCAGTTGCAATTTAAAATGTGGCAGCTTATAAGTCTGATTAATTTAAAGGCTTCTTCCTGGGAACATGCATTCTCAGGGAACATCCAGGCTAAGTTTCAGCTTGACATTAAACACCTCTTTGCGCCTTCTGTGTGTGAATGAGTGTGGGTGTGTTGCGGCCACTGGCTACAGGCTTATTTTGAATGACAAGGGGAGATTGAAGGTGCTGGAGCCTGACGCTGTGGCCAAATTAATCGGTGCTGTCATTTGCTGCTGTGAAACCACCTACTCGCCTCAACACCAATCCAATGGCAGCACCTTTTTTTGATCGACGCTTCCATCTGCCCAGCGCCATGGCGTGAACCTCTTATGGTGAATCACAACGTCATGAAGGAGAAACAAATCTTGGAAATGACAAATAGCAAGAGGCAGGAAAAAGGTTTGACAAATTATTCTTTGCTCAGTCTGCAGTTATATGTGTTTATATCAACTGTGGAATTCTCTGGCAAAGTGACATGAAGCATGGCAAATTGAGTCCAAATCCTATTTGAAATGGGTAAAATAAAGTCCCAAGGAAATTTAGAGGGACAGAGCTCGCAGGGAAGAGGGCTGAAGGGGAGAAATAAAAAAGAGCCAGAACGGGCACAAGCAGAAACAGTGAAACATCAAGCACATGTGAAGTGTATAATAGGCACAAAGGTAATTTGCAGACACATGGCTGGGAAGAGGAAAGGGGAAAAATGAATTTAAGTTATCTCATGCTTCTCAGTTGACTTGGATTCTATTTCCCAGACAAAGCCAGTGGAATAATTTCACATATGGTGGAGATGACAGTCCCAGTAGAAAACGTCTGTTTGCTGAGGGTTGATTTATCATTGTAGTGGCTCAACTGTAGCCCAAGAAATCCAGTAGTGGGGACTGAAAACAGCACATGGAAGGAACCAAGTCAATGAGTGCCACTATTATTTCAAATGAAAAACTAAAAACTTTGTTTTCCATCCCTCTAAATACAGTTTCCCCTTAGATTAAAGCATGCACAATCACTTCATTCTGCATGGCCTCGTATATATTTTGCATCTTCTAGCACTCATTATGAGGGCGTTTTGCTATGGGTGCATGTTTTTAGCCACATATGCTAGCAGCCTAACTCTACGGATGGTAGTATCAGTCTGTCATTCTACAGTCACATACAGACAATCCGTGGTCTCTACAGAAGGAAGGCTAATGACTTTGGGGATCCCCTGATTTCAGGACAAAGACTGACTTTGACTAGTATTTGGATTTACGATGAAATATCTACAAAACTAATGATAGCACCAGCTGCTGGTGCCTTGTTGCATTTTATAAAATGAGGTTCAAAAGCTCAAAGAAAAGAAGCAGCTGTGCATCTAGCAGACCTAACTGCAAACAACAGGAAGTGAATCCAAATTCAATTAATTGCATCCACGTTTCCCTCACTTGTGTCTTCTTCTTGCATCCTAGTCCTGCCCATGTAAGGACAAAGACGGAGAAACTGTGAGGAGAGAGGAACTGTGGGAAGCATGT